CTACAGACCCAAATGGGAAGTGAAAACCATGATGGCAAAAGCTATTGTTGAAGAATTTCCTTCGCTGAAAGATGAAGAAGGGCAAGGATTTGTAAGTTTATGTCTACATTCCATCAAACTGTTTGTATGTTAAATTGTTTTCAGATATTTTGGACAATAACCTGGTTCATGTCAAATTTATATCTAGATAATTAGAGCCACTTATCCAGATAAACATTAGACATTAACTGATTCTTCTATCTGGATAATAGATTAAGCCATATATAGTTAAGCAGCTTAACAGTACCAGACTAATGGTAAATACTGTATCCTGCTTAACTTGACTCAAATTTCAGACATTTTGTACAATACCCTCAAACTTCCTGTTTAGTAAAGACCGACTGCTAGTTGCTTCATCTGGTTCAGCATTGAACCTAATTAAGGAATTATCGTATCACATTTCAAGATTTAGATTAAGCGACTTAAAGTTTGACATGAACTAGACTAACATGTCAATTTTCAAATTTTTTGTTGGTATGTTCATTAACAATTTAAAAAGAAAAATTTGTTGAATAAAATAATATAAATTTTCATTTTTACGATGATAATGCAAATTAAAAAAATTTCCATTTGGTTAATGCAAAATTTGATCATTTGTTTAAAAAAAAAGCTGAAGGTAAGTAAAGGCAATTGGAATTTAAAACAATGACGTGTACCTTATTAGTGTAGTACTATATTTATTGCATGTAATTTTAAGCCTGTTTTCCTGTCGATAGATTGTGAAAACGCCGTTTTGAAACGTTAATTTTGAAATCGTCAAAGTTAAAATAAAATACAAATTTCCCTGATTCGTGTTGGGCCACATAAGCTCTAGCGTTTATTTTGATGTTTCATTTAAATGTTTCTCGATACAGTAAAATTACCTATAACACACATTTGAGATGTAATTGGGTTTTAATTTTGATGTATATAGTTAGATAATTATGTATTTTATGTTACTGTTTACATCCTAATCTTCAATTAACGTATATATTAGATTAATCTATGATGACTATTTCTAGGCCCAACATGTGAATTATCTTTTCGTGGGCGTTGATGCGCAGTAAGCACCCCATTTTAACGATTACAATCATTAAAGTTGAACTCATTTCAACGATTTTGACGATGAAACAATAATTTTACAAACCTCCATTATTTTATCGTTTTTAACGTTTCAAAACAGCGTTTTAGGGAATAACAATCGACAGGAAAACAGGCTTTATGGTGTCTTCACTGCAATAAGTTAATAAAGTCTATCACTATTTATATGATGATAACATGTGTTTTTGTTGCACAGGAAGCTTGGTACACTGCTGGAAGGGGAAAACATTCTTCAAGTGGTTGGATTGAAGAGAGACTGAGAAATGTTAGGCGCAGTTATGCCAAAAACCCCAGCACACCTATTGCTGCAAGTTCAACAACTAAATTGGTGTCTGCTTCTTTACCAGGTATTTCGTTTTGAGAGATCAAGCTTTTAGGTTAATTCAGTGCTTTATTTTATCATACCTTCCATGTCTACCTTAATTCGCAGGATTTTATTGCTTTTTAATGTGATTTTCCTGCATGTGGAATAATCGCAATTAGTGGGTGTATTTTAACTGATTCAGCCTAAAGATTTGTTAGTTCAAGAAAAGTCTTCTGCGAGAAATCATTCCTACCTTAGGACCTCTGTTTTATGCAAGTGCATACAAACATGTATACTGTTTCTAATTTGTAGTAACATAGTTTGATTTAATTGTCTGTTTACTTTTACAGAATCTGATGATCTAACAACTGAGGAATTTCATAAAATGGTTGAGTGGCTGAAGCACAATATTGCTCCAGCTTCTCAAATCACTTTATTTATGAAAAAGACTGCTGCAAAGAGGGCAGAATGGATCAGGGCAAATCCGGGACAGCCATTTAATAATATTATGACAGAATATCCACGGCTATTTGACATGCCAGGAATGGTGAGTATACTTTTTGGTTGGTTTGTAATTTTTAAGTGTTTTCATTTCATATGTCACTCATCTCTATACTTTAGCCACCAGCTTTAGCTTTGTCAGTCTCTCCCCATTACATTACTGATTTTTAACGTTGTACTATTGTACTATTATTATAATTCTTTGATGATTTTAATTTAACCATGT